ACTCCTACGTAGTAACCTCTATTTGCGTGTGATCTTTGCCTGTGTCAGGGATACGTTATCCGTGGACCACCGAGTGAACGCTCCAAGTCGGATGCGAAGAAGGTGAAAAGTTAATGTTTCAACGTGGAAATCTATTCCTCTATAATAATGAGAGGACCCAAGAATCACTATTCATACGACAGTAAATAAAACAGTAATTTACCGTAGCATTATTAAAGATATTACTGTACCATTTTAAAAATATAATAATGTGGCAGAGGTGGGATACTGTAACAGTTAAAAAATGTTACTGTAGTATTTTTAAAAATTACTATAGCATTTAAAAAATACTGTAGCAATTAAAAAACAAAATTACTGTAGCGATAAAAAAAGAAAAGCCGTGCTTCTCACGGGGGGCACACTAGTAAGAACTAAATTGAATATCTTAGCAAAGTAAGATGAACACTCTTCTCGAGAACAAGTCAAAGCTTGAACTCAAAAAAACACCAGAAAGCTTTGAGGATGCCCGGGAGTGGATTACAGCTGTCTTGCTCTCAAAGTTCACCAAAAATCAGATTCTTTCTGCTATTTGCCCTCTTGCCAATGCCTGGCCAATGCTTGGTGCTCAATGCTTCCTCTCCTGTGCACAAGTGTGCCAAGGGGTATTTGTAGCCTTTGGAAGTCGTAACTGTCGAAAAGAAGCTGAAACAACTGGTGATGGTTATCTCCTTTGGGCGAGACAATGTATACTGTCTCGGTCAAAAGAGGTGGTTCCAACCAGTTTGTAACCGTCACCCCACTACTTAAATTACGTTAAATACCATAATTTTCGTGGGTAGTGGCATATTTCACGGCTATAACCGTCCATTAACGTTAATGAATATTTCCCAATAGTTATAGAGTCACGTGATCCTCGCAAAAAGTCACAAAACCATCAGAAAATCCAAGAGGCTGTCTGGTAGTTGAGACAGTTCCCTCTGTCTCGCATATCAGAGACAGTGAACATTGTCTCGGATACACGAGACAGTGGATGCTGTCTCACCAACTATGAGACAGCTCCAAGTCCTTCTGTCGCGTTGTTTTGTATTTTTCTTTACTTCCTTTTGCTATTGGATGATCTCCTCTGACCTAGATGATGACGTTCTTTGTCTTCTCTCTGTCTTGAGTTGTGTTTAGAACCTATAGGTAATTTTTAATGCCTACAGATACCCCTTCCAAAGTTTTTAGCCTCCTCAGTATTTTATCGAGGAGTCTGAAATACTTTGGATAAGATAGACCCTGTTTTTACCAAACGTTAGACTGTATAGAAGGACCATAAGCGGCTTCAGTTTCTTGACTTTGGTATTGCGACATCGCTGACTATTTATTGAAATTAGGAACTGGAGCTGATTTGTTGATATTTAAACTTGCTCATGTCGTTGAGTTGACATTAAACTGATCATCTATATCAGGAGCTCATAGCTGAATTGCAGTTGAACTCCCAGGGGTAATTTTGGAATAGAACCATCCTGAGCTAAATCTTGGCGTAACTGCTGGTGTATAGCTAGACACTGACTTTTGCTACGGTGTAAACACAGTTTATACTTGTACGTAGCTAGAGTCTAAACAGTTTAAGCTCTTAAGGCGTTGGAGCGCGGAGAAGCAGTTTATATTCGTATACTCATCGGAGTATAGTGAGTAGTTTAACCTCATATACCATTCAGAGGATAGGGAGCAGTTTAACCTCGTATACCAGTCGGAGGTTCACAGAGAAGCAATTTATACTCATATACTCATCGGAGTAGCACGGAGAAGCAGTTATACTCGTATACTCATCGGAGTATAGTAGATGTACTGGAAATGAGTCAACGATGCAACGAAAACACACATCGAACGCATGCTGATTTGGCTCTTCGCGCGAGATAGGCTTCATTGTCTCGCGTGTGCAAGACAGTTTACACTGTCTCTCACAGCGAGACTATGCCGACTGTCTCGCACGCATGCGGGGCAGTCGGGTCTGTTTCTTTTTAAGTCCGATCTTGCGCTATTTTGGGCCACTTTATCTCGCTTAAAAACTATCTAAATGGAATTTGGTCTCCATGGGGAAAATTTTTATCTCCATGAGCTATGCTTTAAATATCAATGAAATTTGGTCTTCCTTGGATTATGCAATGGGATTGGGGCTGTATTGTAAAAAATGATGATCTACCATCTTATTTCGCTAGAAGTATTTCAGTAAAATGGTATGATCGTTGCAATACTACAAACTATCTAAATGGAAGAAAAGTTCATTACTCCCTGAGTATAGCGCAGAGTATGGATTGAAGTCAAACCCTAAGAGATCTGATATGAAGTCTATACAAGAAAACCCATATGTTAAATTTGTGCTACAATATCCAAATGCAAGTGAAGAAAAATTAAAGTCAGTGACTTATGATGAAATGCTAGTGATACTAGCACCTATGGATACTGGATCTACAACCTCATAACCTGCTGAGACCTCAGAACCAGTTAAGCCAAAGGAAGAGTCTGATCATGACGATATTATTATGGATAGTGAATATAACAATGACGACGACTGTTTTGGGCTTATATGATAGGAGACATGCCATTAACTTATGGTGAAACTTTATATATGATTAACTTTAGCGACTTAAAGATCAAGTCAATCAACTTGTACCAATATTTTTCTAGTTAAAAAAGAAATCAACTCTTATGCAAATTTTATTCACAGCTAAACAAAAGCAGCAATCTACAGATGAATTGACAGCAAATATAACCGCATACAGTATGCTACATTGGATTCCTACTGTTTGGATACTTAAGCATAAAGATATTTTTATCAAAAAAGGCTACTACAACCTAATCTCTTGTAGGTTTTGACTTTGCTCAAGTGGGTCCCACAAGTCATGACAAGCATCTTGCAATAGTATTTTGAAAACTATAAAAGGGTAGAAGCTCATGAAGTGAGGGGAGACTTTTTGGAGAGTGAAGTGAGATCCTCTTTAGGATTCCTCTTGTTTTCTCTTTTTTTGAAGTTTAACTTTGAGTGTGAGTGATGTTTGCTTTCAAGTTTTTTTGAGTGTTTGTAAGATAAGTGTACTAGTACTACTACTTCGATGATGAGCAGTTCATCATCCAGCTCCTAGTTTGTAAGTTTTTAAGTTTATTTTCCATCAATTATGTAAGTGTGCCTCTTGTTAATACTACTACTTAGTTTGCTTTGAAGTTCTTCATTTTGTTTCAGCTTCCGTCTTTACTGTTTTACTGTTTTTCTTTTTGATATACATGTGAACGGAGAAGAAGATATAGCTATAAATAGTATCTATATCATCTTCTCCGTCTACACAGTATTCCCCACGAGCTAGCTCTGTCGGGTATCTATGTATGTATGCATGCATGCATGCTGGGTTCTGCTTTTCACCCTTCATTGGAACTTGGATAGAAGAGACAAAGTGGTGTTTGATGTGATACTAGTATAATGGTCATCATTAACTTAAGCGGTTGCTTATTTGCAAACAAGTGAAAAATGAAAGTGAGAAAATGACTCACTTTTAACTTATGGCTATTTGTTTGCATGTGACTGCCAGTGACTTTGAAGGTGAAATGTAAAAAAGTTGCCACATCAGATTTAGTACAATCTTGACTTCCCCTAAAATTTGCTGAACTCATGCGAAAGTAAAAACTTGGAAATCAATTTTAGTTAAATGAATTTAAATATATTTATTGATAAATCCTATTTTCCCGCATCATCTTCACTTTTATACTTTCAATATTTTTTATTTTTTATTACTTTTTTTTTTTTGCAAACAAACATTATATTTCACTTGCATGTTAATATGAACGTGAAAGCTATTTTGAAAAATAAAGTAACGGTCACATTTTCAATTCACATTCAGTTTGCCAAAGACACTCATAATTTGTCATTTTCTCCATCAGAGACTAATAACTCCTCTGCATACTTGGAAGATTATGTCACACTACTATCAGTTTAGATCACTTGTATGACTAATTGCATATCTTGTCAATTTGACTCTGCTATGTGTATTTCACTTGCATTTTTTTTTGAAAGTCAATTTATTGAGATGCAAATCAGTCATAAATCATTTCCATCAGGTCTTCTTGTTTCTCTTTCCACATTATTTTTCCATGAGATGTTAGAAGTTGTCGTCAAATCTAGTTTACATGCGTTGGTGGTAGGCTTTTCTCTCAGCATAATTCTAGCCGGTGCCACTATTACAGGATATTCTGTAGTTCTATCTTTATCGCTCAACCAAATCAGCACTTTACATGCTAATCCTTTCTGTATTAATCTTATTCACGTAGGTCTCTTTACATTTGCAATTGTCATTCTTATAATATGTTCAATCTATTGTCCCATAAAAGTGAAGCACAAGTCTTGTTTATATCTGATGATCCTGTTATTATATAGTACATCTCTCTTCCTTATCTTCTCCAGTTTGGCTCATCCTTGCCAAGCGATCAGGATTGTTATGCAATTGATTGGGGTAGCATAACTCCACTCTTATTTTGATAAAGCAATGCATAGCTTCAGAACTTCTGAAGGAACATATTGTCAAGCAATATTTTACAAGTTCTACCTAAAATTCCTCTTAAGGTCCTTTTGAATGTCAAAAGTTTGTAGTTCTATGTTCATCTATATAGTTGCTTACAGTAAGATATGAGGCAGCCTGTACTTTTGTTTCGCTTGCATTCGGACAGGCATGCATATGGGATTCCAAGGTTGCTGTTCACAGCCTCTGAATTGTACTCAGGCACTTCCTTTCATCTTTAAATTTCACATGTTGTACTTTTACTACAAATCTTTAGGTACGCACCTACTCTAGAAACTATGTTTTTCGTGAAGAGGAAGAAGGAAATGGTATACTGCAGTTATTTTTAAGCTCTAATTCCCAGCTCTTGTTTAGGAGTTCAGTTTTATTTTTCCTTTATTTCCTGGGCTTTCCTTTTCTTATACCACCTTATTTCTCTGGCTAGAAAAATCTGTGTTATTAGCATTTAATTGTCTGTCTGTTGTTCAGGCGAACTAACAGATGCTGATGTTGGTAAGTATGGTGCATCTGCCCATTCAGATTATGGAATGCTGACACTTCTAGCAACTGATGGTGTTCCGGGTCTTCAGGTATGTTTCAGAAACATATTTCATTTTACGGAGTAGTAAACTATATCTCTAATCCGCGGGGTATTCGTGAACATTATTTTGGGAGTGCACAGATATGCCGGGAAAAAGACAGGGAACCTCAACTCTGGGAGGATGTGCATCATGTTGATGGGTGAGCATTCCAAGTTTCCTTATGAATATTGTTGGATGTAGTCAAGAACATTCAAAAGTTGCCTTCTTAATATGTTCATAATTGGTATTCAGTTTCAGTTATTTAGTTATTTAATATTTATCTATACTATTCTATAGAGAAAATAGTGGAGGTAACGAAAAAAATGGAGGAATGGGGAACCGATTCCCCCATAGTTAGAGATCTACTATACTACTCTTTCAATCCTCTCCACATACAAATTTTGAATGTCTTATTCTTTTTTTCCCTTTCTTTAGAATTACAGTCATTTTCTTTGATAATTATTTCTTTCTTTACAATCATTTGAATATCTTATTCTTTTCGATATGTGAACTCCTTGCTGATTTATATTAGGATTATCTATTAACTTAATTAATTTCTTTATCAAACTTTGTAAATAATATTATTTATCATTAATCATTGTAAAATGTTAAAAAATGTGTATGATATATCCATCTGCATAATTTTTTTATGCAAAAAAAAATAAGATCTGCTAGTTTTACAAGACTGGGAATAAGCTTGTAAAACGACCATTTAGAAGATTCTGACTAACTCTAGAGGTAAGGAAATATAGATCATAGTGTTATGTTTTATTTTTTGATACATACTTTTGCTTGGTGACCATTGTGTCTAAGTTCCTTGTGTTTTCCAATTTCCTCCTCACTAGTTATTGTTGTCTGATACATTTGCATTGGGAAAAATTGGTGTAATCTGGTAAAAACACGTTTCTGGTGGGAATGGGGGAGGAGCTGGAAATACTACCAATATCTGCAAGCATATATGGAACAACATGGTTGTCACATCAAGTTATGTACAGTATAATATTAGATTGTTGGTTTTAAGTTCGATAAGGATTTTTCCTACTAGATGTAAGAAGGGAAATATATAATCAACCATGAAATACATGTTTTAGTGTTCTCAAGTTGGAGCTTATCAAGAGTAATATGTGATGGTCATTCTACAGTTTTTGCTATCATTAAACTGAATACTGGAAATTTTGAGGGATGTCTTGCTTTAGGTTGACTATGACATGCCTCTTTAACTACTGTGATCAGCTAACTTGATGATATGTTACACTTGTTTTATGTACAATACCTTCATGTGTCTAGAGGATCCCTCAGTTTGGTTATGTTATATGGAGCGGGCAATGTGTTGGCTTGTTTGAATTACAGTTCAAGAAGCAAAAGGTTAATGTGCACCTCCTTTTCTATGTTTGCTTGCAGAGCTCTAATTGTTAATGTTGGAGATATGTTGGAGAGGTGGACTAACTGCATATTCCGGTAACTTTCAATCAATTTTACCAATTTCTTTTTGAAAATTTAGCAACTATACAATAAGTTTCATGTAACAGCTCCATTATATATTCCTATATAAACTTCATGCTTATGTATCTCTCTGATATGATCTTATTTGCAGGTCAACATTGCATAGGGTCCTCGCAGTTGGGAAAGAACGATATTCAGTAAAGTTGCTGGATCCAATTAATACCATCTAATTATACTAGAATTTTTTTTATGAAGTTTAATTTAATATTGGTTTGTGACGTTTGGACCTGGGAAGAACAGATAATAGCTCGTTTTAGTTTAAAAACATTCTCATTATTTTACAAACATACCATTTTCTACATGTTTCTCTCCTCATACGGTTAAGATTGCCACTGACAGTTGTTTCAACTTGATAGGTTGCCTTCTTTCTCGATCCAGACTTTGATTGCATAGTCGAGTGCTTCATCTCTGTTAGAATATAAAGCTATAAGTCTTAAAAAAAATTTGTTACTTCTATATTAGTCTAGGTTTCAGCCCATAAAAGGGCGTCCAACTTGAGAGGCATGTTAGAATATAAAACTATAACTCTCAACCCCTACCGTAACTTTGGAAATTTGGTATAATGGTTAAATGGACTTTCACAATCTCCAACCCAACTTTATGCCTGTACCAATTTCCTTCTCCTCAAGTATATAACACCAAACAGTTAAGTTCCAACACCATTCTGCGACCAGTTAGGATCCAGTTCCTCCTTTAATGATCAATCTAAGCTCCATAATGTTGAGGGGAGATTAGCTCCATGTTATTATAAGAACCATTTTTTCCACCTTTTTTAAGGACTACTTATGATCCATCACTCATTAGAGGTTAAACTCTGTTTTCTCAGGAGTAGTTGCGCTCCTTAAATTTTTTTATGACTAAGCCTATATTGTAATCTGACACGCATGCGAGCTTCCTATTTCTAGTACAAGTCTTTCAATTGGCAATACGACTTGATGTAATGTTAATTCCCATTGCCAAAGAAATCAAAATGCCACGTCGATATATTTCCTAGTGTCTTACCTCCTTAAGAATATTTGTATTTGAAACAAAGGTCCTCTATAGCGTCTGGCACAACTCCAAAGATAAAGTGTTCCAGTTCATATGGTGAAAGGATTATCCTAACAGATGGATGTTTCTAGTAAATGCTTCCTTAGATTGTATTCTTACCAAAATTGATTTTTTTATCTTGTTGAAAAATATGGATGTTATATACCGAAATCTAGATTGAATTTCAGGCAGTGAAGGGATTTTCTCTTATTTCTTGGGTTTTGGGGAGCAACAATGTCGGAGATCTTGCTTATCCTCGCTCCTCACCCACCCACTTACCCAACAAAAAGAAATGAAAAAAAGAAAGAAAAAACTATGTATTTTCATATGCTCCTAACAATTTTGGTTACCATAAAGTAGTGTTATAGAAAGCGATGGGCGGTATAGGCACCAAACCTAGTGCCTAGAGCCTAGGCGCCTAGGCAGTTAATTGGTAATAAATCCATTAAATTCATAGAAAATTGAAAACAAAAATAAATAAACAACATTCATAGATTCATGTTTCATAAATAAACTAATGGTAAACACTAAAAAAACACCAACATAATAATTTAATGTCACTGACACATAATATCCCCAGTGTTTTCAAAGGCGCGCGCCTCATTGCGCCTCATGCGCCTTACGATGTGGGGCGGTGGCAAAGTGCCCCACATCTGATGCAGCAACGCCTTTTGCGCCTCGCGTACATCCGTACTTTGTGTAGGATGCATGTAGTACATTTCCTCATATAGTTTTGTTTGTTAACATTTCAATCGAGTCTTTATACTTGATATTCCATATCCCAAAAAGCAAAATAAATCCATTGGGCTTTTTTAATAACCTTCAATTGAGGACCATTACTAATCCTTAGTTTGGATATAAGTCTTGATTTAACGTTTGATTTGAAAATTTATGAAATTTGCTACTATGTTGGGTGTTAGCATTAGAAATTAAGGTAATATATTGTGATTTTGTAGCAAGATATTATTTATCATGATATTTTTCATGTAAATTCTAAAAACATGTTCTTTCGCGCTTGATTACATATATTGAAATATTATGTGTGGTGTGCGCCTCGCATCACTCGGGCGCGCGCACCGCGTTACGCCTTGCGCATGTGCGCGTAAAGATGCTTTGCGCCTCGCATTGCGCCTCACGCATTGAAAACACTGAATATCCCAATTTCAGAAGCCTAAAGCTCAAAATATCAGCAAAAGAAAAAAATACAAATAGTCTTAACACGTGGCGTAATCATCTAATCTGTTTCTCTTTTTCGTGAGGATTTCTTTATCTGTTTAGGTGGCAGTGGAGGAGGTTTGCTGAAGGTAGGAGGAGGGAGATGTTCATAGTTGGTGGATGAGGTGGAAGGAGTTCGGAGGAGGTTTGAGAATGATGGAGGTGATAACAGAGGAAATCACAATCAAGACTTAAGCAATACGGTCTGTGTAAGGTACCGCCTAACCTAGGCGGGCAGCCTAGGTACCGCCTAGGGTTAGGTGGGAGCCTAGGCGGGAGCTATTTAAAACATTGCAGTAAAGCAATTTATTGCTAGATTAGTATAAGAGGACATAAGGGGAGAGGGTTCTGTAGTAACTTTTAGCATGTATTGGAAATAATTTACAGTTTAATAAGGTGGTGTAAAGAGTTCTGTGGTTTCTACATAAGCGAGGATAAATTTTGTTTGAGGGCATATGAAATTGGGACTTTCCACCTCTCAAGAGGAGAGAAAAATTCTTCCTAAAACGTTTTTGTACATCCAATAGTACCCAAAAAAAAAGGATGACATCATCTTCATTTCTTTGTGACATGGAGCCACTTATTTAATTCTCTTGGCCATTCTATCATTTGATCCAGTGGCTATTAAAATGGAAAGAGATCCTCCTGTCTGGAATATAGATTAGCCCAAACGAGAAAACCTTTTCTTTACCAAATTAGTCCCATTTTGATGAGGAAATTCTTTTCACATTAGAAGTTCTACAAATGGTTTTCTGTTGCGAAAGCGCTTTCCACATGAAAAATTCCATAAAAGTCCTTTTTAGTACAGTTCTAGTTTCTACTATGAAGCTCCACTGAAATCCTTTTCCATTTTGAAATTATATATAAAGATGCGAGGATATGTGAATCCGAATGTGATATGCAAATAGGCATAGGAGGCCAAACTGAAAGATAAAGCATCACAAATACCGAACAGTCCCTGGTTCATATCTGAATAATAAATAATATCGTGAATCCGAATGTGATATGCAAATAGGCATAGGAGGCCAAACTGAGATAAAGCATCACAAATACCGAACAGTCCCCGGTTCATATCTGAATAATAAATAAGTGTCAAACTTCTTGGTTTTTCAATGTTCTGGTGTGTTCCAGCTTCAGGTTTGATTACTACAAGTGGAGAGGATATCACATAGCAAAGATGACCCAAAGAACAACAAAGAAAGAAATTTGTAGGTTCATGTCCCATTACATGTTCATATTTGAGAAAGATTACAGGTCGCCATTACTGTGACTACTGGGGAGGGTTGTCAAGGCTATATAGGAAGGTTGATGGGTGTGTGATCGGAGCTATGTAGCAAATCATCAAATTTTTTTGGCAACCTAAATAGTCTGGATTATCGGAACTAAAATTAGAAAAGCATCCATGAGTTAAAAAAAAAACTTGCTTTTTGTTCGTGTGTTTCTAGTAAACATGAACGTGATCACATTATGGAAATTGTGAGCACATTGATAAACATGTACATATACAGGATCTTGCTTTGCTTTTATGTTTTTAACATTACCAATTATGTTGTAGGTTTCCGCCCATCCGCAGTGGTGACTACTTGCAAGAGCGCCTAAGAACTACATATGCTACATCCTCAAAGTAATGACAGTTTGTTGCCATACAGTATTTACTGTTAAAAAAAATTAAAATGGGCGTGGCTGGATCAAATGACACAAAAAATCGAAGCATGATATCTTCATATATAAGAATATGTTAGTCTTCAAAGCTCCATGTTGTGCTTGAATTAGGCAGCCCATGTGTTCATAATGTACTAAAAATCTTTAGAACCTTATTTTGTACAACCTATCTAAAGTATTGCTTTGTGCTTGTAAAAGCAGCAGGCTTTTAATTAACTGGCATGTTGTCATCAGGCATAATTCCCTCAAAGGCTGCGGTATCATGCCCTATGTTACTGCTATTGCCCCAGGAATAATACATAAAGTTATCGACGATGTCCTATGTTTATGATCCTTCAGGAAAAAAAAAGGTTCTTTACTTGTAATGATTCTGAAGAGTGCTGTGGTTGTGGGATTGCTTTCCAACTTCATGCAAAGCCTTGGGGACCAAGTTAATGCATGGATATTTATTGGCACTCGCTCACTACTTTATTTGCTAGAGGACCAATTTTCAAATAGGAGGCCTGTTTAGAAACTTAATTGTCAAAAACGACCTATTTCGAAATTATTTACCAAATTCGGTAATATGTCGTTTTTGGCAATTAAGTTTCTAAACAGGTCATTTTTGAAAATTTGTCCTTTGCTAAATGCAAATTTGCTAACCCCCTAGTCTTCATTCAATATTCAGCTGTATTTCTTAAGCTAAGTTATGGGAGTAGAAGTTCGTACGGTCAAATGTTATGCACGAGAAGTAAGTGCTTCTGCTTTTTCACAGGTAAAGCCAAATGGTGCACCGTCCCAAATGCTTAACTATCTCTAGTTTCGTTTTTGGTTTTGTATTCAAATTAGATCGGGTTGCACATAATCCAAGTCATTAATGATGGGACCTAACAGGGGGGACATGTTAGATGTCCTTCTTCTATTGCATAATAAATTGATCATCATTAATGATGGCTAGTTCATTATGTAATAGGAGGGGGACATCTCACATGTCCCTCTTATTTGTTCCATATTTTACGTCCCTGTAGCAAAGCTTGAGCATATATTGTCATTCTAATAGCAACATTAAAAAGTGTCATTTCAATTGTCGTTGCCCTTTCCCCATATAAACAGCTGCGCATCATATTATTGGTAGGACAAATTTTCAAAACCAACCTATTTGGATTTTTATTCCCAAAAAACGACCCCATTCAGTTTTATTCGGAGTGACGGGCTTGCAGGTATGCATACGATTCAGGGATATTGTGCTTTTCTATGTTCATCTGACCTTCTGACTAATATATGATTGCAATCATAGGACCAGGCACTAGGACTGATTCTCATATGACTCCTGGCATCCCTCAAATGCCTACGGATGATGGATCTACAGGTATGCAGATGACTGTACTATCCCAATCCTTCTTATTTGTCTAAATTTTCGTTTTGACTAATAAGAGAGTGCCATCTTAGGACCAGCCGCTTGGGCCGATACTCTTATGACTCTTGGCATCCCGGCTGTATCCAATTATTTTTGAATTGGGTCGTTTTTGGGGAATAAAAGTCCAAATAGGTTGGTTTTGAAAATTTGTCCATTATTGGTAAGATCATAACGGCGATGATCAATTTACTCTGACTAGTAATAAGTTTGGAAAGCGTTGCGGGACTTCAGCAAGCGGTTCCGGTTAGATGATAGTGATATTACAAAAATAAATTAAATAGATTATGACAAAAAAAGCATTGATTTGAAAAGATGGGGGGCTAATTATCAAAATATTATACATCAGGGGAGCTACGTCAAAATATTTAAAGAGCCGTGTTACTAATCTTAAAACATGAAGATTTAGAAGACTAATTTGAAACACTGGACATCTGGGGACTAAGGGGCTGTTTGGATTGATTTTTTAGATAGGTAAAAGGGGGGAAAGCTGCAAAAAATATCAGCTTTTTGGCAGCTTTCCCCCAAAATCACCTTTTATAGAGGTGATTTTGAGGGAAAGCTTCTAAAAAACTGACATTTTTGGCAGCTTTCCCCTCTTTTACCTATCCAAAAAATCAATCCAAACAGCCCCTAATGGGTTGTGGGGAGTAATTAAAAAATATGAACGTTGAGGGACTAATACCGGAAAAAACCATAAGGCCCCGTTTGGTAAATAGTTAATGAAGATGGATTAAGGATAAGGATTAACATAGTTAGCCCATTCGGTAATCCGAATGACTAAATTATTAACCCGTTATATAAGTATTATTTTAACCCTTATGATCATTTTTAGTGTTTAAGAATAACAATGATTTTGACTATTTCTTTTATAATTAGACGGATTAGCTCTTAATCATTCTAAATAGGAGTATTAGTAAACCAATCATTTTGAGTGGTTAACTCATTTTAATCCCTCTAGAGTGGTTAACTTAACTTTTCTATATATTTTGTGTTTGTCAAACTATAAAGTGTTAACTCACTTTAACTCTTAACCCTTTGCCAAACGACCATAATAATAAATAAGTGTCAAACTTCTTGGTTTTTCAATAGATTTTTTGTGTTTGGCGGGTTAAGAAATGTTAAGTCTCCTTAGGGGGTGTTTGTTTCAAATCTTATAATTTTAGAATATGAATTTCACCATGGGATTTGAAATCCATAGGTGTTTTGTTATGGGTTGAGATTTCTAAAATGTTGTTTGTTTCATTAATATTTTGGGATTTGAGATACTACAATTTGTAATATTTTGTTTGTTTTAAGGTCAAATTGTAGCATTACCAAATACCAAAATTTTACAATATAATAAATATGCTATCTTGGTGAGGTTACCTCCCACAAAAAGACAAAATTAGGATTTGTCAAATCCTCTCCAATTGAGAAGTAAGCACACTTATTTATATGATTTGTCAAAATCCTCTCCAACCGAGAGGATTTGGGCACTTTTTGCACTTTTGGAATTCAATATTCTAAAAATTTTCTTAAAACAAACACCATATACTGAATCCCAAGATACAAAAAATCTTATTTTTCGCTCTCAAAACTTATAATCCAAACCAAATACAAAAAATTTTAGTGAAACAAACACCCCACACGTAACGGCTTATTTCCCTGGCCAAGCCGCTTCTGACGGAATCAGCGGGGTCCACATTACAAGTGGGGACGCTCACTTGCATCAGCACAAGGTTGTCTGAACCGCACAAGCTATTATCCATCCTCTTGTGGGAATATCACCACGTCATCCGCTCCGCGCCACGAGTCCAATCACCAGCTCAGCACCTCTCCACCGTTAATTAATCTATCAATATATCCTTAATTAGCGGACAAAAACCAAGACATAGTTAAACTAAAAGCATTAATCTCACAAATCCCTTGAGCTTCGGCTTTTATATACAGGCACTTTATTTTTTATTTTTGATTATAAAGTGACGAGAATCAAATTTAAGATATTGAGAGCTATATTGGAACCTCTTAGCCATCTGGATCATCAACGGTGCTCATATACATGCACTTTGATCTTTACCGATCAAGAGAAACTCAAACTTTTAAATTCATGTAGACCTTCTCAAATATTGGAAAATCACATAGACGGTGCTAAAGAGAAGAGTAATAAACTTGAATCATTATAAATCAAAATTTACAATGAAATTCCCTAAAATTATGTTGATTCAACCTGAATTTACGATTGTAGTCACTCGGACTCACGTGTCCTCACCAAGAAGCATGTGTAACCAAATAAAGTCCGATTGGATTTTATCCTTTGTATAAATACACTTTAATATCCATTGCATAAAAATAAAATTTTATGTATAGATTTCTCTAGATCCTTAGCATGCGTCAAAATACAGAGCCCACGAACCGAACGGCCCTTGAAAGTCCTAACCGATTACTGAACCGGACCGGCATATCCGGTCCGAATATCCATCCGAACCGGTCCGAAAAACCCATACGCTCCCTCTCCCCACACCTTCTCCAACTCCCCTCTCTCTCTCTCTACAATCTCTCCTGCGGTCCTCAAAATCCCAGTTCTCTCTCCGATCCCAAAACCCTAACCCTAACCCTAGCTCTCCTACTCCTCATGAGACTACGTCAATGACGAGGAGGTGCTCGCATTGCG